TTAGTAGTAACAAGAAGCTATTAGAAACAATAAGTAAATAGAATTTATTTAGAATGGCGCTGTTTCTACCATGTGGGCGTTGTCTCAAACATCTCAACAACGTGACTGCCGAACGTCACGAAGCGTTGGAATCCAACACACGCTGGTGGAGCTGCTATGCGGCGAGCCATGAAAAACCAAACACTTCTGCTTGTGCCCTCAAGCTACGGAGTGAGTGAAACCAAACGGGCTAATGTAGGAGCCTATTGAAGCAACTACAGAAAAGAGTGGAAGCATTGACAACTCATTTAGGTGAGACGAGCATGTCCTGGATGTGTCTGTGGTAGAGGCAACTTACACGTCACTGCCTCTACGCACAGAAACTGCAGCTGTCGAAACGAGTAACAAGAAGCGAACGTAGGTTGGAGGCCATCGCTACGAACGGAACAAGAAGCTACGATCGTAACTAAGGGCCTCTTAAGACTTGGGGTAGGTGCCGAACACGCCAATGTGGTGGTGCTAAGAGGTCACGCTGGCAGGGCCAGACGTCTGGCTGAAGCCATGAGTCCGGCAAGTGGACATGTGTCTACCTGGCGGTTTTCCTTCCGCTTCCAAGCGCGGCAACCCCGGTCGTCTAGACTAGACACCTGAAGAGAAAGGAAAACGGATTGATCACCCAGGGAGTAGAAGAGATTCAGGTCACTCGTGAGCTTGCAAGTGTAAACATACACCGTGCCCATCAGCACCTGTGCTGTGACTGCCAGTGGCAACCAGGGGGAGGTCATCCCCAAGTTGCAAAGGCTCCAACCAACAAGCAAGCAGGCTAAGCTGTAGGGTTGCTTGATCAGCCTGCGCAAGACTCCTGCGTCCTCGTCATCATCTGTCTGAGCTCCAAACACCTTCATCATAACGCCTGCTGTCAAGTCTCCCGCTGTCTGAGCAAAACTGGCCAACATGGCGTCGTTCCAACCGTGGTACTCTTTGAAAAAAACCGCAAAGGTGCTGAACTCAAACATATAGCTCAGGTTGTTGTTGAAGCAGCATAACATCACCATGAGCGCTGGAAGCCGGAGATCCCTCGGAACGGCTTTGGAGGTCGACTTGACATTGGTGACCTTCACCTGGAGGTCGAGCGTGGCATGTTTTTCTTTATATGTTTCTTTCCTTCATTCTGCTGGTGGCACAACGGACGTGTGACAAATCCATCCAACTCCTAGATCACCTGCTTTGATCCAAACAACTCACGCCCTGGCCTCCTCGTGGCCTGTGTCTGGCCCGTTACGTTCACCTGCTCGTTGGGCCAGGGTGGGTCTCAGAGCGTTGTTCGCCATGAAGCTGTGCTGGAAGTTTTCCGAATCCTTCAGGTTCGTCAAGGCCGTGACGCGCGACAGCATGGTGCCCTTGGTGCCTGTCGACCGCGGACCGGTTCCGGCGGACCGCGGGTACTTCCACCACAGACACAAAGCTTCAAAGAAAAGAACACCGGAGTCTGCAGGGGTCCGGAACCATCACCCTGAGAAACAGCATCGAAAGTGACCACCTGCACAACAGCATGGTTTCACGGATGCTCATGTTGACCACATTGACCATCACTTTTTGAACCTTCCCCAAACCCCACGAACGGAACACGTGTTGACCGTTGACCAAAACCATTGCATGCTGGTCACACAAACGGCAAACATTTTTCAGCGCATCGAAGAGCGTCTTTTCAATGCCATCCATACTTCCATGGAGAGAACAAGCTGTCAGTAAACAGGTCGCTTGCTGGTAGTTTGGCTCAGGTACAAATGTACAAATGCTGCTGATTCCTCCGAAAAAGCCTAGCTTGAAATAGGCTGCCATGCACCAAGAACGCTTCAAAACGCTTCCGAAGCGTAGAAGTTTGTTGGGTCCACGAAACCTGCTCCGGGACCCGTCCGGCCGTTTCGGTGGGGGTTGCGGCAGGTCCCGTCCTTCCAGACTCGTGTCGGGTGATGGTCCGACCAGCTGCCCTCGATGGTGCACCCGGACGGCCGTCGTAGAGTGAGCGAAACCGGACGAACGCGAAACCGGACGAACTAGCGATGCACTTCGTTGTTACTAAAGAAATGCAGTTTCTTGTTTCATTAGTAATGCCAGGAGCTACGTTCGTAGCGTCCTTGTTACTGGCCTTTCCGGTTCTCTCAAACGCTGGGATTGGTGAGAACCCGACCCCGTCGTCCTTCCGCTTCGCCCTTCCGCCGTCCCGCCTTTGCTCGTCTTGGTCTTCGAAGACTTCGTCGTTCGAAGCGTCACCCGTGTCTGGTGCGTCTGCCGCGACCCCTGCGAGACCAGTGAGTGGCGCATGGGCCTCAGTGGAAGGAGTAAATAGGTGAGGGACACTGGAAGAAACAAAGACGAAACGGCCCTGTGCCCCTCCCCAAATCCAGATCTTGAAGGTCTTAAAGAAGCACATCACTGGCGTCACTGGGGAATCCTCACCCTGTGGGGCTCAAATCCTTTTTGCGCGTTCCAAGCAGCCCTGACTGATTCGACTTGCAACTCTGGCGTGCGGATCTCCTCTGACCGGCAGAGGGTCTGGCTGGCGGGCTCGTCTGGCACTCGCTGACCCGTGGCGCTTCCGATCTATTGGCCAATGTCTTCTCTTCAGGCACTTCACCTGGAAGCTCTTAGCCTTCCTTTGCTATTAGGTTGGAGGCCATCGCTCTAAGGTTGGAGGCCATGGCTAGTAGGTTGGAGGCCATCACTCTTAGGTTGGAGGCCATCGCTCTTAGGTTGGAGGCCATCGCTCTTAGGTTGGAGGCCATCGCT